GTCCTTTTAAGGAGAGGAAGAAGGGTTATTTCCTTTCTCCTGGAAGCCAATGGCGAAGCATCTGAAACTTTAGAGTGTAAAGACGCCTAGGAATCCATACGAGTTAATGATCTCAGTAAAATGAAACAGGAAGTCTAGGACCTGAAAGGTCACCCAGGGCAAATAAAGACATTTCTCCGTTTCATAGTCTTTTTTTTTTTTACTGGCCCTCCTCAGGACTTTGGGACTTTCTAGTCAAACTCTCCACTATTCTTTACCCAGAAACTCTACCTTTCCAAACAGCCCTTTGCGGGGGCAGGGAGGAAGAACGGAGCCATTGGCTGGGGTCTCAGCCAGGCCTGAGGGCTGGGTGAAGGTAGAACACTGAGTTTATGTAGGAGAGAAAGAGGCACGGGAAGCTGCTTTTTGTTCTGATGAGAAAATAGACAAGCTGGCTGAAGAGTGGGTAATTAGAGATCTTCAAGGCTGCCTCTCCCTGTAATATGGGACAGCTGCTTCTAGTCCCCACATGAGTGCTTTGGCCCCCTTGGAGAAAAGGCAAAGTGGGCAGATGCCCACAGACCCGGGTGGGCATCGCTGCTGGCACAAGGCATTGGCCTGGACCCAAATCCCTTCTTACTGCTGACGCAGAGAGGAGAGGTGTTGGGGAAGGAGAGGAGGCTGGGGTTTATTTAACCAATTCATTCCCACATTTGTGCCCCGCTTCAGACTCTGATGTCACTTCACGGATGACGAACCTGAGGCCTGAGGTTCAAGAGGTTATCATCAGCCTTAGTAAGTGCCTGAGCTAAGATTCTGACCCAGCTCTGCAAAGCCAGACCCTTCCACTCCAAGCTATCAAGGCAGATGATGGCCATACTGTCTCCTATTTCACACGTGCATTCGACATTCCTTCTACTGACTTGGAGCCTGCCTGGAAGTCTGGATTTTTTTTTTTTTTTTTAGATAGCATCTCCCTGTGTATCCCTGGCTGACCTGAAACTCCCTATGTAGACCAGACTGGCCTCAAACTCACAGAGATTCGCTTGCCTCTCCCTCCCAAGTGCTGGGACTAAAGGCGTGTGTCACCAGGTCCTGCCTATGTCTGGATTTCAGAAGTGTGTGGAGTCGTCTAATGTAACTGCCACTCTGTGCGGCTTGTTGACTACTGAGATACTCCGCAACACCTTCCTTTACCCAGTTCCCACAATGCCTCACATCCTCTGGACAGACTTCTGCTATCTCAAGGGTATTCTTGCCTGTGGCTTTTATGCATGCCTTTCCCTCAGCCTTTGGAAGCCCTGTCTCCATATATGTATTCCAGCCCCTGTGTTGAGTCATGTCCACCCTTCAAATCTTAGCTTTGACATAAACTGTCTGTCTCTTATGTATCCTTCCCAAATTCCAGTTCCCACAATTCAGATCTCAGCTCAAGCCCTCCCCATCCCCCACCACTACCCACTGGAGAGTACATCCTTCCCTATCCTCTTATGTTTTATTTCTTTATAGTTGTTGTACCATAAAGATGTTATCCCTGATGCATGAACTGGCTTTTTGGATCCCATCCCCTATGGTGGGATACCTGCTAGCCTTGATGCTGTGGGAAGGGGCTTGGTCCTGCCTCAATTTGATATGCCAGGCTTTGTTGACTCCTATGGGAGGCCTTACCCTTTTCTGAGAGTGGATGGGGAGCGGGAGGAGAGGAGGGAGGGGGGAACCGTAGTTGGTAAAATGTAAAATGAAAAAGCAATCTTAAGAAAGAAAGATGCAGATGTGTTGTTTTCCTTGTGTTTCCCACCACGTTTTGCAAATTCTGTGATTTGGTGCTCGGAGGAGTACCTGGCATATATTAGGCTGGCACCAGTGCAGATAATAAACACTTGCCAATCATGATATTAGTCCTATTCTCAGGGCCATGTCACACACTGTGAAGCAATCTCAGCCTCTCTGCCCTTGACCCTGGACTGTACCTCAGAATTGCACAAGACAGCCATTCATTACTGACTGGACTTAGCAGATGAAACAGGACCTGTTTACCACATCTGACCTATACCATTAATTATGCTGTGTTCTTATTGTTACAACCAGATCCGTGCTGATCTCTGATGCCAGAGACTGAGCCTGTTTCTGTCTTAGAAGTTCAAAAAGTTCTGGATGAATTGAATTGACTTATAATAATACTTGGGTCAAGATTTTGTCAAAGACTGCTGATAAACCAAGCCTTCAACAATGAGAGATGAGAGGCACATGATCAGCACCCTGCTGGCAGAAGGGGTTTCTAGAAGTTACCTCCTGGCAAAATACAGTGGCTGGGAAAGTCAGCTCCAGACCCAGAGCTCTGGGAGTGTGGGCATTCAGTCTGCGTTGACTGTGGCATTTGAACACTGGATACATTCTGTTCTTCTCCATCCAAACATCTTGATCCACGATCTGTATGTGTGGCAGTCAGAGCCAATGGATTTACACAAGGTCGGGCATTTTCTCCAGGCTTAGGTGAAGAAGGACTTTGTTACCAGGTATACTGGTTAGCTTTTCTTTCCTTTCCCTTCCTTTTCTTTCTTTAAGATTTATTTATTTATTATGTACACAGTGTTCTGCCTGCATGGATGCCTGCAGGTCAGAGGAGGACACCAGATCTCATTACAGATGGTTGTGAGCCACCACATGGTTGCTGGGAATTGAACTCAGGACCTCTGGAAAGAACAGCCAGTGATCTTAACCTCTGAGTCATCTCTCCAGCCCTAGTTTTTATTTTCAACCTGACACAAATCAGAGTCGCCTGAGAAGAGGGAACCTCAACTGAATAATTTCCTCTATCAGATTGAGATGTGGACATGTCTGTGGAGAATTGCCTTGAATGGTGACTGATATGAGAGAGGCCAGTCCACTGTGGGTGGTGTCATTCCCTAGGCCTGATGGTCCTGGTCTGGATAAGAAAGTAGACTGAGAAAGCTGGAAAGCAGCATTTCCCTATGGTCTCCAATTCAGTTCATTCCTCCAGGTTTCTGCCTCAGGTTCCTGTCTTGGCTTCCCCTAATATGGACTTGTAATCTTTAAGTCAAATAAACCCTTTCCTTCCAAAGTTGCTTCTGAACAGAATGTCTTATCACAGTAACAGAAACCAAACTAGAAAACTAGGGAATCTAACTTAAGAGAAATGGGATCTGGAGCTGGTTGAGATCTAGAAGGTCCCGATCTCCTGTGTGGATTCTGGGCCATGATATTCCCAATGGAAGCATGTTTTCATATCTGTCTTCTCAGAGGCTTGCTCATTCCTGATGTTCCTAAGACAGGATCTCTCTCTTTCAGTTGGTGATGAAGGCAATCATTTCTACCCAAGGATGATACCCAGGGGACTGAGAGGGGAATTCCATTTTTAGATAGAGCCTGCCTTCACACAGATGACCATTACACACAGAGATTGTCAATGTACCTGTCACTCAGAAACAACTAAGACTTAGGAAAAGTAAAAAGCTCCTCACTAGGAGGAGCTTAGCTGCCTTTCCTCTCTGCACCAGCCAACTGTAGGAAGACCCCATCAACACAACCATCCTATCCTGATACAAATATTTGAGTGAAACCAGAATATCCCATCACAAGAGAGATGCCTCATACTTCAAGCCACTGCCTGCTCAGGATCTGAGCAGGTGGAAGAATTCTCTGTTATTTATGAAAACCTGGGGTCTAGAATAGATCCTAGTCACAGGCACTGAGCAATGGGTATTTTATTTCTTTAAAGGTAATATGGAAGAATAAGATTAGACAGTGAACTGTGGCAATCTGGGAGGAGTTAGAGGGAGGGGTGAGAGTGGAGAATTATGATAAAGACACACTGTGTGGAATTCCCAAAGAATTAATAAAAATATTTGAAGAAAGAAATTCTATTTAAGCTGGGTGGTGGTGGTGGTGCACACCTTTAATCCCAGCACTTGGGAGACAGAGTCAGGCCTGTGTCTGTAGCTGAAGTTTTTCTGTGTCCTGGCCTGCCAGCAGTCGGGACAAATCTCTCCCACTCTTGTCCCCCAAGTAAACACACAGAGACTTATATTACTTATAAACTGTATGGCTGTGGCAGGCTTCTTGCTATCTGTTCTTATATCTTAAATTAACCCATTTCTATAAATCTATACCTTGCCACATGACTCACTGCTTACTGGTATCTTACATCATGCTTCTCCTCGTGGCGGCTGGCAGCTGGCAGCGTCTCTCTGCCTCAGCCTTCCACCTCCCAGCATTCTCCTCTCTCCTTATCCCACCTACACTATACTTCCTGCCTGGCTAAACTGGCCAATCAGCATTTTATTTATCTATCAATCAATCAGAGCAACACATTCATAGCATCCCTTGCAGATCTCTGTGAGTTCGAGGCCAGCCTGGTCTACAGAGTGAGATCCAGGACAGGCACCAAAACTACACAGAGAAACCCTGTCTCGAACAACAACAACAAAAAAGAACTATTTAATTTTTTTTTTATCTCCTTTGTTGAAACGAGGTCTCACTGCAGTATAGGCTAGATTGGCTTCAAACTCTTAACAGTCCTACAGCCGCAGTCCCCTGAGTACCTGTGCCAGCTAGACCCGCTAAAACACAAATTTTGAAGCTTACCTCAAAGCTTTAGTTTCTGATCTTTCAGACTGGTTCTCTCATACATGGGTGAGAGAAGGTGGCAGAGGTAAGGGAGATTTAGAATTTAGATTCTGGGCATTTTCAGAAATTGTCATTGGTTTACCAGATGTGTGTGGCAGAGATTTGCCTAGGTTAATGCAATTCATTATGTTATGTTTTTACACGAGTTAGGGCAAACCAGTGGTGGTGTATGATAATTTGTTTGTGCTCTAACAGATAAAGCTTTCCTGGAGATCAGAGGGCAGAGCTAGCCACTAGTTAACCATAGAAGCCAGGCCGTGGTGGCAAACACCTTTAATCCCAGCACTTGGGAGGAGGAAGCAGGGAGATGAGCAGCTCAAGGCCACCCTGGGCTACTCAAGATTGAACCAGGCTAAAGGAGAAACAGAGCCTTTAATGCCAGCACTAGGGAGGTGGAGACAGGATCTCAGCTCCCATTTGGTCAGAGGATCCATAGAGGTAAGGAAGTCACTGGTGGATGCTCGTTTGCGTCTCTGATCTCCAGGCAAGCTTTATTTGTCAGAACACAAACAACTATCACACAACACAACGGCACCTTTTCAGATACAGTCTTATGTATGTTTGATGGGGGAATGATTGTTTAAGGTTCTGGGACTTGGAAAAATTTAGATGAACTTATATTTTGATGTTTCTCAAATTGACCTGAGAGGTCTTTTTGGGGGGTAACACAAGGATGAGTTTTCTTCAGCCACAGTTATTCCCCAGCACAGGGTACTTCCATCAAGGTGCCTCTTCTGCTTCGGTCTGTGCTCTGTTCCCTCGACAAAGTACCTGCAGTACATTCAAAACAAACAACAGATGTTTATTTGGTCCGTGATTCCGGGGTCTGGCAAGTCGAAAGGTGGAAGCCGTAGCTATGGAGGGTCTCATGACTTTCAGTGACCTGAGGGAAAAGTTGAGGGGCTCAGGGGGCGTGTGTGGGAAGAGACAAAATTTGAGGGGCAGGGTTGATTTTTGTATCTAAACCTAGTCTGAAAGAGACTCTGCATGTGACCTATAGAAGGTCTCACTTCCAAATGCTGCCACTATGGCAATCAAATTTCAACACAAGTTTCAAAGGGGACAGAGTATATCAAAGAGTTTGGGGGAGGGGCTTGGGGAATCTCAGAATAAAGATGATGAGGTGGAGGTGATGGAGCCCTTTCAGGTGTCCTTGGCTTAAGCTCCTCTTTCTCACACCCCTTCCTCAGGGGGCCCCCACGCCCTCTGTTTGTCTTTAAGAGCTCACATCCAAGACTCATGGCAGGATTTGCTGTGTGCTCTTGGGGCCACTGTCCTAATTCTCTTACCTCAGAGGGCCTGGGCTGCCTGGAGGACACTCCTCTGCTGCCCCCTGCACCACCAGAGTACTTAGCCCAAGGTGACCTAGTAATCTGCTTCCCCAGCATCTTTGAGGCCAGTTGAGTAGGACTTCTCAGAATCACCCCCTCTCCGGCTTGGCTTCTTAACCTGCCCTGCTGCCTCCCTTTCTATTCACCGTCCAAGGGCATTTCCCAAGTAAATCATTTGTGTGTGAGCCACCTTCATCTCAGGATCTGTGTAAAAAAATGCTTCGAGAATAGAGGGAGACAGATGCAAGACACTTACCTCAGTGCATGGCTGTCACGCGAGGCTCCAAATATCATGTCTAGTTAGGATGGTTCTCTCCTTCGTCTTTTGGGCTCTGGTAGAGTAGTGCCAAGGTGTGCAGCATTGGTCCACCCAGTTGGGTATAGGGAAGAAGGATTTGAGTGAAATGGAAAGAGCATCAAGAAAGCGTATTGTAAATAGCATACTGGAAATCCAACTACCTGGGCTCTGTATGTAAATGTATGCAAATGTATGCAAAATGGGGGCAATAGAAGTCAAGGGAATTGGCATGGCTGGGAGATAGAGTAGCATTCTCCCCTCCCTTTCCCTTTCCTTCCCTCTGCTCCCTCCCCTCTTACCCACCCGGCCTCTCCTCTCTTCCTTTCACTCTGATTGGCAAGTCCTTTATTCTAAGAATTAAATATTTCAGCTGTTTTTCACTTAAAGAAATCACCCAGGTTTCTAAAGTGAAGGGGAATCTTGGTGGTGGTGTGGATGGGGTCCAAGCATTCAATGTGGGCAAGGCTGACAGAGCAATCAGTGGTCCAAGACCCTCATCTGTGTTAAGTGGTGGTATTTGCCACCTGGGACAGAGCACTAGGAGAAAGAGAACGTCTTTCTCAAGACAGAGTACGGAGGATTTGCAAGGCAGTGTGAACAGTGGCAGGTTATATTTTCTTTCTTTTTTTAAAAGATTTATTTATTTATTATGTACACAGTGTTCTGCCTACATATATGCTTGTAGGTTAGAAAAGGGCGCCAGATCTCATTATGGATGGTTGTGAGCCACCATGTGGTTGCTGGGAATTAAACTCAGGTCCTCTGGAAGAGCAACCAGGGCTCTTAACCGCTGAGCCATCTCTCCAGCCCCAGGTTATATTTTCTTGAGCTATGTGTAATAACAAAATTAGAAGGCAGTTTTCAGTGTATGTGGACAGGCTCACTCAGGAATTATTTTCCCCTGAGCCCCATGATATAATTGGCAAATAAAAGTTGCAATTGCACAGATGTATAGTGTGCAAGATGATGATGTTTTGATACCTGTATTGTGAATAGATTAAAAACTGGAGAGTCCTTCAAAGCCAGGAAACCAGTGTCTAAGGGACTATGGGAAAGTAATCGTCTTGGTTTCTTGCTGCTCATGAGGGTTAGATGACCTTAAAAAAAGAGAAAGGCCAGACATGACCAAATAACTCATCCTTATAGCTCATAATATGCACTGTCAGGAAAACCTATTAAAGCTTCTCAGGTGGCAGGAAGCTAAACCTAGTTTCTCCTCTTGCTGGTCAGAGGACAGTCTGTCGCCTGGCTGGGTCAGAGTCTGCCTGCATCTGCTGAATCATGTTGTTTTGGAGCAGCAGTAGGCCAGGGCTTTCATCATCAAAGCCAGCATTTCCATGCAGGCCCATCTGCTCTGAAGGTTGTGATTAGTTATGTCTGGAGAGGAACCTGGAATCCTTATTTGGATTTTGATCCTAAGGCATGGGAAAAAGGCTCACTGTAGGAAAGGATCAGGATAGGGGAAGTGTGTGTGTGTGTGTGTGTGTGTGTGTGTGTGTGTGTGTGTGTGTGTGAATTGACCAGCATTCCCATCACCAATGGAATGGGAAATAGAATGGGCATGAGTCCAGCATTGGTCCACCCAGTTGGGCATGGCAAAGAAACATTTCAATGAAATTGAAACAGCATGGGAAAGTGTATTGTGACTATCACGCTCAAGATCCATCCACCTTGGCTTTGCATGAAAATGTATGCAAAATGAGGGCAACAGGAACCAGCAAAACAGAAGTGCTTAGAATATTAGGGGGCAGTAAAAGTCAAAGGTTGACAGCACATACTATCATGTGGCTGGGTTTCTAACCCAGAAAATCATCAAAACACATGAAAGAAGGTGTTTGTGGGGAAATGCATTGGCAAGACAATTATGACCTGAAACACACCAAAGGACACCGGCGTGTTTTAAGGGCAGAGATTGTGAGGTTATGGGAGAAACATAAAACTTGCATGAACCAAGGAAGACACTGCAACTAGATGCTAAGGAGCATGGCTACTGCAAGTTTCATGTCCCCACGAAGAGACTGGAGGCTTCACAAGAGAGTCCTGCACTGACATGGGTTGGCTCTGTCTGGCCTCACAGTGTTCTCTACCATGTTGTGACACAGTCAGGTGACTCTCCCTACACGCTAGCAGATGCTGGCCACATGCTCCTGGACGTCTCAGGCTCCAGAGGCCAGAGTCAGATAAACTCTTGGTGTTTGTAAGTTTGCCCATTGTATCATCCATAGCCAGTTATTGCAAGGAATATGAAAGTCTTCATTAAAAAAAAAAGCCAATGAGGTTTTGAGATATGGGGTCACCTTATAAATGAGCACGTTGGAAGAGAATACCTCCACGGCCTAAGGTGCTTAACTTAACTCCCATGCTTTTTCCCCAATGGCTCCTGCCTCTTTGGCATCTTGGTTTTGCTCTGTAGTGTTGCTTTGTGATAGCTAACTGAAAGTTTTACAAACAAATACACACACTGCATATGTGTGTTCCTCATGGCTAACCTTTTCCTCAACAACTTTTAGACAACAGTCAAATGCATATATATATATATATATATGTACACATGCATGCATTTCTGTCTGTATGTATGCGTGTATGTGTATCTATTCTAGAAAGTAATTCAAGGGAAAGGCTTGTGAGTCTTGACTTAGAAACATTCATTTTAGAAACACTACACTTACCCAAATCCCCAAACTTGGGATTCGGTTGGTTTTCCCCCTGTACACTTCATTCTGTTTAGCCTGTGTCCGAGACAGGAGAACTGAATTTGTACAACTTGAGATTTTAGAATCATTGGACTTCCGCATTTTACTGTTCACAGAATGTTTCAGCTCCTTGAGGCCAGTAGGAGCTGTTACGCCCAAGACGCTTCTCTAAGGGTGTTGAGATCCCTGCAGGCTGTCCAGCAGAACTCTGTGAGGGTTTGGACTGCACTGGAGTGCCTATGTGCAACATGCCACAGTTGGGACTCATAACCATTTGAAAGGTGTGAACACATCTCTATGCTGGTCTCCCATGACTGTTTCTTACAAGGGTTGACTCTTTCCCCCCCGGAGTTACAAAAAACTCAGCCACTCTGTGAGATCTTCTTAAAGATCTTACTTCCTTGAGGCTTCAGTAACCTTATATCTACATGTTATAGACAGATCCTTCCAGAGTCTTCCTCGGACCTGCTTCTGAAGGACTTCTTCACATGGGCCTACCAATCCAGACCTTTGATTTAAATGCTGTCAGAATTTTCCAAACTCTGATTCCAACCATTCCAATAGAACAAAGATGTCATGCTCACCTTTCCCCAAGACCACACAATGCCAAGTGACACATGGTACTGTCCGAGAAAGAGCAAGGTGGCCCATACCTCATCTATATGTTGGCCTGGGGATTTCCACTGGAAATAACTAAATACAAATGACACTCATTGAAGCTTCGTTAGTTCAACATAAGCTCCAGTGATGAAGCACCTTTGAGGATTGATAACTTTAAAAAAAGCTATTAAAAGACACACGAGGATTTTGCACAATACACAAAATACACAAAACCAGAGGCATTTTTTTTATAGCTAAACAATTTTATTGGCTTTTTGTGAAATAAAAAACATGAAACAAACCACCATGGTTAAAGGCTAATCAGTCAACCAAATGAACCAGCCACTTGGTTCCAGCAGCTGTGAAGAACATGAGTGGGTATTATTGCTTATGCCCCATGTTCATGTATGTGTCTGTTATGTTTTGGCAAGAGTACAATCAGATGGAGCTTTGGTTGTTAAATTCAACTAGCACTACTCACTGAAAACACAACCTCTAAGATCTGAAGGTGGCTATATGCCGTTTCTCCCGAGTCCTGACATATATCCTCCCATTCTACCTACTCTCTCTGTCCACTATTTATTCGCCCTATTAACAAGGTAAAGGGGGGAGGCTTTATCAGCCTCCCTCTTCTGCTGCTCCCTCTCTGCCATGAGAGGGTGGTTGGTGCATTCCTGGGTCTTTCTAAGCTCTTGTATCTGGTATGTGGTCATGCCAGAAACAAATGCTTGCCTGTGCTCTACACAGATTTTCAAATGTATATGGCATTTGGAGTTTGAACTCAACTGTCTCCTTTTCATCTTCAGAAAAAAAAAAAAACCCTAGAAAACAAAAACAAACAAACAAAAAAATCAATAGCCCTTAGCATCAGTAAGGTGACCTCCCAACAGGATGAGCCCCAGTGTCCAGCACACAGCATCCCGAGGCAGCTGTGGCACTATGACTCTCTAATGGTGTGTGTGTGTGTGTGTGTGTGTGTGTGTGTGTGTGTGTGTGTGTGTACACGCATGAGAGTGAATGTGTGTACTGTAACATTTTAATCTGCTGAGGGGGCAATGATGTTGATGCCTCTCGAGAGCTCCCCTGCTCTCCATGTTCTGTACTAACACTGAACTTCCCAAAGGACACGGGGTCAGAACTACCTAACACACAATAGCACCATTTCCTAGGCTCTTGGGATTTGGCTCCTTTCACTGCTGGAGAAAGCAGGCCCCGGCCTCCAGCTCTGTGCTTTTACAGGCTCCGTGGGACCGCTGTAGAAGCAGGTGGTCTGCCTTGGCCTACTTTAGTGGTGACCTGAATTTTCCCTGGGAAGAGTTAAAAAAAAAAAATCTGTGTCTTTACAAAGTGAAGTTGGCCATGGGTGCGAGGGCTGAGGTGCCAGACCTGTAGACAGTGGGACAAGTCTTTTCCCCTTCGCTCATCTCTGTTCAGGTTGCCAAAGGGTTGGCCAGTAGAAGCCCAGCAAAATTACAGGACACTGAGAGCCACCAACCCTGACACAGTCATCCAATAGCAGTACTCGAACTCTGTCGTAGGTACCCAGGTCTGCCAGCCAATCTTGCCCCTGATAGCACTGGAATTTAATAAGCCCTTCTAATGACTATGAGGATTATCCTCTTGAATCTAGACAACTTAAACAGTAGGATATTTGCCCTCACCATAGTTTATATGGCACCGATAACCATATAATTACTAGCACTTAAATAGAAAAATCTTGTAAATAGGTAATTATACCAATGTTGTTCATCAGAACAAAGATTAAGCGCTTCCAGCTTGTACTCTGGGGGGGATTTCAGCCCAACCCTTTGCCTCACAACAAAAAGATAACTCTGTAATTATGAGTAATGCTCTGTCACGTGGGGCCAAGAGACTCATGGGGCAACTTCGCGGTCAATGCGTGGCCTATGAAATTAAAGTAATACACAGTATTGTCATTTCAATGAAATACAAGAGACCATATAAAAATACTTTCCAATCCGGAGTCTGAAACGTGAAAGCTGGATTTGTTTGTCTTTGTATAAAAAGGAATAAAATAATGGACTAAAGTGTATTAAGCTTCCTAACCAAAAAAAAAAAAAAAAAAAAAAAAAACCCCAAAAACAGGTGTAGGTTGAAGGAATGCGGTGAGCCAGTCAGCTTCCTTTTATGTCCAGGCTCAAGGATGTCGAGCTTGTGCTTTGATCCTGATGGAGATAAATGCACACGAGTGGAGAAGCCAGTGCCCCAAACCCTAACCGCGCCGATGGCTAAGGAGACTGGTTTCTACGGCAGGTAGAGCTGTCAGCGGTGGAGGTGGCCGAGAGGATGACTGTCCCTCTCTCTCCTCTTCAGGCGACAGCTGGGGACGAGTGCCAGAAACACCACTTTCTCCTCGAATAGTGCTTCTTCAGCGCCAGGTCCTCCTTCTCTCGCTCCCTCTTCACACGCTGGTAGTGGTCTTCCTCCTTCAGGTACCACACGGGGGGCCAGCGGTGCCGCTCAAAGTACTCTTGGTTTTCTGGGTGCGGGACGGGGGGGGGGGGACGGGGGAGAGGGAAGATATTGTCTGTGATTCCTGCCGCCCCCCTGACTGTTCCTGGATGCTGACTCCTGCCTGTCCCATGCTCCTCATAAACCTCCCCACACCCTGACGTGGCAGAAGCTATGAGCAGGGCTGTCACTATGCAGATGGTGACAAAGTCTGAGAGGTAAAATCCGGGCGAGAAAGAGAGACCCTGGACCTCTTGACTTTCTCCAGAGTTGCAGCTTGGCCCTGGCTGTCCATCCGTTAATGAGGGGAGGCCAATGGCTAACTGCCTCGGCC